TTTACAGCTATTTATTATTACCCGAATACCCGTGACCCTGGTCATCAGATTCAGGATCAACCGCACACAATGTATGCACATTCTCCACTCCCTAGGGAGTATTCCTGCCAGGCGTCATTTTTACAAGTGCCCACTTGCTCATTCTACCGGGTACCCATTTAACACCTGTGTGGAGAGTGGCAAATGTAGATCAATGTCTTGCCAATGGACATTAGTGCCGTGGCGGGACTTGAACCGTGGACCTTGTGATCCACAGTCCGGTGACATATCCACTTGACCACGACACCTCTACCTTACACTAGTTTCCATGACACTTGTTTTTGGCTGAATTCCGTCAAAAATACAGGGTTAAGATTGGTGTGAGGGTATCACTTGAGTTTTAAAGAAGTTTTAGTTAGTGTTCGGATTTGTTAGATGTGTTTTGTCCACGGTTGACGTTAGGTGTTTGCCAAGGGTAGGATATTGATCGCACAGTAATTTGGGTCATGTGTCATAGAACCTTCCTGTCTTGTCAAGGTCTTTGTCATTGCCATGGTAATAGCTCATTTTTTTGTGAGCCATAAACATTTGTGTACTTAAAGCCCCACTACACTACTTATAGCTACTTGCGCCCTCTATGTAGCATACAATGACTAATCGGTGACCATTGGTCCCCCATGATCCTCTTTTTCTTATGTTAATTGAGAGCTGATTTGATGAGATAACTACCTGTCAGAGACCATGCAGGGAGGTCTAATCCCTCCTGGCCAAACTAGTGCAGTGGGGCTTTAAAACACAGAGTTAATGCCCCTACAGATGAACTGTAGATACTTTTAGAAGGAATTAATTTATTGGAAATGAAATAACAGAACTCGGGTTCTATGGGAGGAAAGGATTATTTTATGGTTACCACCATTGAAGGTTTTATATCAAGGCTTGATTTGTGACTGACCATTGTTTGTTATTTACTGTGTTTGTTTGTACCTGTAAGTGGGGCTTGACACTAGCAAGTGCCGGGACACATGGGTGCCAAAAATCTTTGTCCAAAGTCCAAACCTCCCAAATTTCAATTTTGTTTACGGTATATATTTTTTTTTACAGAGCTCATACATGTACATACAGATTCTAAAAATTTGAAATCATACTCTTCTCCAAAAAAAGTTAGTATTGAGACCTGTTGTAAGCAACTTGTTTCCCTAGCTTACTGTAATATCCTTGCTAAATCTCAATTTGGTGTGGAGTATCATGTACAAGGCACCATAACTTATGAACGGGACTACTGGAACAGTTGGAATTTCCCTCTGGGGGTAAATTAGTGGAAATTGGTGCTTAATAGTGGTCAGGCATGAAAGATTATGAGCTAAAATAAGATGACGTGCAGATGGACATTGACAGATAATTTTAGCCACCGTCTTCAGCTAGCTTGAAGAAATATAAAGTATAAAGGGTTTATATGCTTGCAACCATCACACCTTTTGGTTTATTGTTAAGTTGGTGTGAAGATACACACATATAAAACACCATAACTGATGGATGTGATTGTGCAGATGAGGGAACTCCCCAAGTTAGGGGGAGATGGGGGAATCAGTTCTTTTGGCGGTCAAGCATGAAGAGAAGGAGCTACCGGTATTAAAAATAATCGCATATAAAACACTGTAATTTATGGATAGTAATGTGCAGAAAGGGGAACTCCCTTTTGGGAAAGATGGTGAAAATCAGTGCTTTTGTAGGTCGAGCATAAAACAAATCAACCACGACAGAGAATTGTAGTCACCATGGGTGCGTTTAAGCTTAAATTTTGAAGGCATCATCGTTATCGCAGTTCCACGGTGTACTGTTTATGCTCACTTCTCTGGCTCCTCCAGGCAATTCTCCTTGGGTGGCCTTAATTGGTCTTCCAGCTGGATTCGCAAACCTTCACTGTGCATGCTACGTAGACCCACTAGAGGTCAGTGCGTTGACCCCATTTAAACGCGTTTACAAATTGTAAACGCTATTTGTAAACGCATCTTTTTGTGAGTTTACGATCGGCGATCGTGATCGCCGTTTTTTGGTGATTCTACAAAAGTGAGCATGGACGCAACCGTGTTTTAAACTAAACGCGTAACAGATGCCTGATTCTGGCCAGAAAAAGTTAAGCATAAACACGCCCTTAGTTAGAACTTAGAAGCATAAAAAGAGTTTATGCCTGCAAAAAACAATTTGCTTCAATTTGTTGTCCTCAAGTTGGTGTGTATAAAACACCACCATAGCTAAATGAATGGGACTAATTGCTGAGGGGGAGAAAGTAGTCCCTCATGGGGTATAAAAATGGATGTAAAAAGCAGTGCTTTGTTGGCAGCATTCAGTTTCAGTTTCAGTTTCAGTTTCAGCATTAAACGGTAAGGAACTGTAAATACTTGATGAATCGACAACAATATTCAATTGCAATTGCCAACTGGGGACAGCTTTAGCTTGAAGCATTCTGACAAGAAAAGTATTCCCCATAATGCCTTTGGGGTTTATCGTTTGCACTAAAGTCTAAACATAGATAGGCCTACAAGTGGTGTGAAGATCATTACATACTAGACACCATGATGTATGAATGGGACTACAACAAAGAGAAGAACTCCCTCTTGGGTTTAGAATGTGGAAGTCGGTCATTTGTGGACGACTTTGATGAATAGAAGGGAGTTTTGCCTGCAGTCAAAGTATGAGAGGGGGGGGGGGAATGGGGGAAATTTCAAGTAGCATTTTTGGGGGCCCGCTTTGTTGATTTTTTTCTTCTTCATGCTTTTACAAATTTGAGAATCAAACATTTTTCCTGTCCAAATAATGTTTTGGACTATTTTTAGGGTGACAACTGATGACAACTGAATTTTTCAATTGTTTGGATAACAATGTTTCTTGTATTTTGATATCAGTCCTCAGCAGGAAATCAAATATTTCCTGTTCAGGATGCACAGAAATGACACCTGACCGTCAACTGGGTATTTATTTAATGTGCATCATATGTCTGAAAAAACACAATATTTTGCAAATTTATTTGCATGAGTGACTCATGAAAGGAGGAAAAGAAGATGTCTTTTGCAGAGCTTATGTTTACTGACTAAATGGCTGAGTTGATGTGCCTCGGGGAGTAAAATTACAATGAGGGAAATGTTTCTTTGGAAATTGAAGATACCTGTACGTCCATGTGTAGCAAATTTCATGTCAAGTTTTCTATACTTGGCAAAGGCACAAAGGAACAAGCATAAACAAAACAAACAAGCACCAAAAAGAACTCAAACAAAATTTAGACAATTAATAATTAGTTGTGCATCTACACTGTACCTCTAAAATGTTATTCTTTGAAATTTGTCATGACCTATTTCAACTTCTATAAATAGATATAGAAAAATTATGGTCAAGTTCTAAAATCAGCTGCAATTACAAGCAGAAATTGTTGATTTTTCTCACATTCCAGTGTTTCGTCCGTAGTTCCTAAACAACTACCGGCCAACATGTCGAAAAACTGAAGTAAACAAATTCACCTCAAGAGTATATTTATTTTAAACGCCTGCTAACATTTTACAGATTTTTTGCAGTGTAAATGAGAACTTCTGTATTATGCCAGTATTTTGTCGCACAACTCTCCTCGCTTCTGCGGGATCGCACACAGAGTAGCGACAAGTTGGTTTGCGCATTTCTCACAGAAAAAACGTTATGAGCAAACACCATCAGGGGGTTGTCAGGAGTGTAAATGGCAGTCCACAAAAATCATAATTTTTCAAAATGATTTTGGGCTGAGAAAATTGGCCAATGGTAAATGTAGATTTTGCCGTACATTGGCAATGGAAAAAGCTTCTGTAACCCTAAGGTTGTTGGCTTTCACTCTGGTCTTTGGCCTCTTCTAGTACCAGCAAAAGTTTCACCTAGATCGACATTGACAGGGTGAACTTTGGCTGTTTTTGTTGACCATGTCGCTACTACGAACAATCACTTTCTATTTTAGTTCCTCTCCTACAGTTCCTGTTTCTATTTATAGCATGGCAAAAGTGGCTCAGTGTTATTGTCTTTTGTCCACTTAAAGTCTGTTATGTTACGGTCACAAAGGTTTGTACGAACGATAATTTCGTACGAATCTCCCTGTTTTTCCATTGTCTGAAAATCGTTCGTACGGCGTTCGTAGCAGTTCGTAATGGCATTTGTGACCGAGGTTTTACAATGCCATGCCATGTCATGATCACTGTAACTGTTGGTAGTGAAGTTCTTATGACTACACAGTCAACTTTTCAAGACACAATATAATTTGTTTGTGTGTAGGCAAGATGCAGTAAAACCTGTTCATAAAGGCCACCCTAGGAAAACAGAAAAAGTTGCCACTGTAGACAGGTGACCTTTCTAGACAGGTTCCACAACACACATCTTTTGTCAAGGGTGACAAAAGTAAAGTGCATGACTACTGTAGACAGTTGACCTTTTATAGTGGGTGGTCAATATTAGACAGGTTTGACTGGGTTGAAGTTAAGAAGAAGAAAAAATGATAAACAAATCATTGTAAATATGATAAAAATGTGTTTTAAAAATATTAAATAAAGTCACAAAATAAACCTTCTGTATGTAATTATGTGGAATAAGTGCAAGTCACTATGAAAATGACTGACAAAGAAAGCGGACAAAATATACAGTTCCTCAGGTAGACAAAGGAACATCCCTTCACTGCTATTATGTAAAAATGTGTAGAACAGGTGCCAAATGCATATTCACCTTTTTACATAATAGCAGTGAAGGGAAGTTCCTTTGTCTACCTGAGGAACTGTATATTTTGTCCGCTTTCTGTGTCAGTCATGTTCATAGTGAGTGTTATGTTATTGGAGGCAGAAATAATTAATCTTGCCTGTGAAATATTGATTTGTGCCCCCCCCCCCTCAAAAAAAAAAATAATAATAATAATTAGATAAGAAATAAATTTATGATAAATAATATCATTAAAAATAACTAATAATAAAAATAAAATAAAAAATAATAAAAAAATAAGATAAATGAAACAACTATAATAATCAAACAAATGCTTAAGTCGAACAATTCTCAATATTTTTTTCTTGCATTCTTTCTTTCATTTCTGCAGGAGAAGACGTATCATAACTACAACGAAATCCGCTTCATGCCCAATCGGTTCAAGGAATACCTGCTGTCTCAAGAGATCGGCTTTGCAAGCTGTGAAGTCATCGGTACTCCCATCAACAAGTCTAAAGGTTTGGAGTAGAATATAATAGCCAGTTTAAAGATACTATGTCCCTTTGCAGCATACATCAAATTCTGTAGAACTTTGCGGGAACTATGAATATGTCATGTATATCCTATCTGTGAAATATAAACATTAACAGTGTCCTAATATTCAAATTATGCAAGGAAATCCGTTTATTTGCTAGACTTCACTGTCAGACACTATGGAGTGACTGACTGGCTTTTTTTATTCTTTGGTAATAATATACGGTACATAAATTGAGCTGTAAAGGTACATGAGCATTTGTCTACATTAATAACCCAATTCTTGTAATGGCCAAAATTAAACTTATTGAATCTTTGCGCAGCATATAACATACGACCATTCATTACAATGGTCTGAAAATCAGACTATTACTTACTGGCTCTATAGCTCTTAAGTCAATTCGACAACTAATAGTCGGTATTTTCCTACTTAAAGACATTTTCAAGCACCCTTTTTTTTAGGGAAGTTCTAAATTAGTATTATCTTTCAATTGCCGTTGCAAATGTGACATAGTACCTTTAAATTGACTTGGTAACATTGCCTCAGATTCTGAAACAAAATCCTGGATTTTGCCCATGCTGCAATAATTATAAACTTTTAGGTTAGTCAGGAATCCCATGACTTTTACAAGCCGATTGCCTGTCTGATTATCAAGAAATTTGTGATTGGAAATGGAATTTAATTTGTCTTTTTCTCACATTTTTTATAACACTACAGTCTATTGGGGAAAATGAGTGGTAAAACCGGTCACTCAAAGATTTTAATTTTTTTTTTGAGGCACTTCATGATCATTTTGAAATGCAATTTTTTTTTAGGGCTTCAATATTACACCATATTACAGACACTGATAACGCGCAGGGCCATGCATCTCAGATTTAACATTGTTAAACGATGCTTTCAACCTCTTTTATGCCATTTATTTTTATGTTTCAGGTAACAGAATTTATACAGGGAAGTACATTTCAACAAGTGGTGGTCCTTTTGTAATTGGCAATCATTTTATGATTCACAAAATTCGTCAAAGATTTTATCACTTTATTTTCAAGGATTTCAATCTGAGTTTTGAGATTTCACCTTGACAAACCTTGACTGAAATCTGTCAGAACTTTACTCTGAATGTTGCCTAGGTACAGTGCAGTAGATGCGTGTCTTCGTGTCTTGAATCTGTGAGAATCTACGAAATACAATCGAGATCACACAAATGTTGTGAATACTACTCATGGTGAAAAGCATTCGCATCATTATGTACATTATGTTGTTGCCAAAAGACCTTGCGTTGATTCATCTTTTATTCCCTTTGAATTATGAATGCACCTTAATATATTTTACATCAAATTCATGTGCCTGATCTCATTTATCTACAGTTTTTTTAGATCCCATCTTAAATGTGTTCTGTGAAAATTTTGTTTCTTAAGGCAGTTTTGGAAACGACTCCCTCTCAAAAAATGAAATGGAAGCTCTTATTACCAATCATGTGAAAGAATATTTTTTGACTAATACGTGATGATACAAATTTTGCCGAAAAACCGCCTACTAACTGATATATTTGGTAAGATATTATATCTATTTGGACCGGATAGATATCATGCGTATGTTGCGCACGTGTTGCGCACCCCAATATACATCTTTCTGTGCAGTGCTTGTAACTTTACCAAGACTGGGCCAAATTTTTTATCATTTTGATGATTCCAGAACCTTGCTGTACACACCAATACTTTTATGCTAGATGATCAACCTTTTCTGATTGATTCCACAACGATTCTTTCACAATGCAATCGCATGACCATTACTGGTCTTTCTCTTTAACAATATTACTTGTCCTCTTCCATTGTCCTGCAGGTTTTAGACGACCCATGATGATGTTCACCAAGCTACAGTCCAGTAGTCGTCCAGTCAGCAGAAGACCTTCCACAGAGAGACCTCCTGCAACTGTAACCTCGTCCATTCCTGCGGCCGCTCCCCAACCCCTGATGCAACCAGCTGCAAGCTCTTCTACCACCGCGACACCCAGTATTCGAGATGAGGCGAGGTCGAAAGTAAAGGGAAAACTCCTTGCAGAAACCATTCCTACGGCTGCTGCTCAACCCTTGATGAAGTCGGAGGTTAGCTCTTCTGCTGCGGAGACTTCAGGGTTTGGTAAGAAGGCGAGGTCGAAAGTAAAGGAAGAACCCTCTGTAGAAACCGTTCCTACGGCCGCCGCTCGACCCTTGATGAAACCGGAGGTAAGCTCTTCAGGTATTGGAAAGAAGGGAAGGTCGAATGTAAAGGAAGAATCCTCTGTTCCTGCCGCCAATCCTCAACCCTTGATGAAGTCAGAGGTAAGCTCTTCTTCTGCTGCGGAGACTTCAGGTGTTGGAAAGAAGTCCATGTCAAAGGTAAAGGAAGAACCCTCTGTAGAAGCCATTCCTACAGCAGCTCCTCAATCCTTGATAAAGTCGGTGGTAAGCTCTTCTGCTGAGGACACTCCAGTGGAGACTACAGGTATTGGAAAGGAGGTGAGGTCCGGTGTGATGCAGGAGCCAACGGCACAACCAATGGCACAGAAGGAGGAGATGGAGGGGGTAAAAGTCGAGGTGATGGACACTGCAGAGATCCCGGAGGAAGCAGAAAAGAAAGGTGTTGCCATGACAATCAAGCATGAGGATAACAAGGTTACTGATGACACTACGAGTGATGCACTTGCTATGGCAACTGTTAAGATTGAAGCAGAGAAGATGGAGGAGAAAGGATCATCATCGTCAACCACAACATCATCATCTAGGAAAGACATGGAAACAAAGAAAGAGGACGAGGAGGGCCGTAGAAATGAAAAGGATTCTGGGGGTACCACTTAAAAGTGTTCCAGAAAGAATTTCACAAGACAATCACTCTGAAAGCAGTTCATACAAAAATGACCTATCTTACATGTACTTGTACTTTTCTGCGTTAAAAAAGGTATGCAATGAACATCAGATAATCAGATGACCTATTTGTTAATGATTGAGCGAGCACAATTATTCCCCCTATCAAACACCAACTCTTAATATAAAGTGAGATGAAGCAATTTCTAGCTTGAAGTGTCTAATCTTTTTTTTAAAAGGTTGTAATTGTTTGTCTTGCCTGTTAAGTGTGAAGAGATTTATCCTCGGTTCACATATTCTCAAGGAACTGTTTATGAAATATAGAGAAAAGGAATAAAGACATTTACAGGGGAGGGGGGGACAATTACAGTTTGAGTTGAAAATATTTCTTTTGGCAGTTTGATGACAGAAGTAGTGAAATGGTTCACAAAAAGTAATGCGTCTAGGCTCATATACATGTATCATGTAAGATAAGTACTCACAGAGTCATTTAAGTAAAAATAGAAACAAAAATTTTCTGGCTAGACGTGGTCACTTCTGTTTTTGATAGTTTGGATGTTGATTTCTCATGATCCCCAAACAAAACAATGCCAGGAGGAAAACAACATTTGTCATTGATCTAAAATTGGCACTTTTGCGTCATACATTTGGAACAATTACAAGAAAGAGGAATCTCTTTTATATTATCTTTCCCTGACTTCTTTTTGGTAGCTCGTAGATAGGAAAATGGAGGAAACGAATCTAACCAATGGACTATATTGTCCTTCCCTTTGCATCTAATTAGATCAAGATTTGAGTTTTAACGCTTGACGTCACGGCACATCCTTGAAGCTTTTCTGCTAGTGTTGATGGGACCACGGTCGTAGTGTGTTCCTTCAGACCCTTTATCACCAGAAGCATCAGTTTTAAAGCAGAAGCAAAAGATTGATTGCATACCTCTATTCTAAGGTCATCGATGTTGCACTTGCTAGCCAGATGAGGCTGCAGTATCTACGTTTGGTTTTGGCAATTCACTGGATTGAGGGGGGGGGGGATGGTCCACTGCAGTTAAAGTCTATCCATAACGCTTTATCTCTTTGAAGAAATTAAGCCGATAGTAAATGCTGCCTAGTGCAGATGTTGGATCACCATTACAAATTGATATACACACCCCAGCAAAGACTGTTACAGGTAGTGTACTTTGTTTTCCTCTTTTGCTAGGATAGCATTTTGAATTTTCGAGGCTTGAATCTGAGACTAGCAGAGTAAGAGAGATCATTTGTCAGACAACTTAATAATTGGCCAATTGGGAGATGTAATGATGAGGTAATTGGCTTTCACTCTCTCTATGTGCAAGGTGTGGTTACAGACCAGTGTGCTGTATCTACATAGGCCTGTCTTCATCAGCTCGAGTTTGCCAAATAATCCGCTATTTTAACTATCCCGATCGCAAATTAGCCAGTTTATTCATGGCTTCATCAGCCCGCAGTTGCAATTAGCGGGATATTTGGTCGAGAAAATATCCCAAGAAAATTCGGTCTTGTTTCCAAAATATCCCACTATTTGGGAAATAGAGGGCTAATTTGTGCCCGTCTAAGCTAGCTTGTGATGAGCGTATTGGTCTGGTGAAGACGCAATTATGAGCTTCGGGATAATATCCCGAGTCTGAAATTAGCGGGTTATTTGTCAAACTCGAGCTGATGAAAACAGGCCTATTGTGGACTTGTTTGATTACAGCATTGTTGCATTTTTATGTGTTCAGACAACCAGTGTGTCTGTGCTAGTGAAGGTCTGGACATCAGGCTAGCAACATGAATGTTACTGCATGATCCCGTGATATCATTTCACTTTTCAACTTTTCTTTCTTCTTCCCCCCCCCCCCTTTTGTTCAAAACAAAAACTTCTTGTTCAATATTAAGTGATAAAGATCTGATCCATGTGACTTTACTCGATCAGCAAGATTAAGTCATCGTCAATTGTTGACTTGAAATCAGATGGCAAATTAGCAAAAGGATTATAATGCCTGACTGTGCACACCATGCAATGCTCAATGGAAGGTCTGAAATAAAGACTAGTTAAAATGTTGACTGTTCAGACCAATAATGATCCTGATTTCTACATGAGATTAAGTTTGTCACATATTAATAAAAATCCCTTGTTTTACCAGGGACCTGCCACAACCACTGATTGATAAATACTTCAAAGACTTATCTCCACCTTAGCTGGTTTAGATCTAATTTCTCTCCGTCATTTTTCGTACATTTTGTCTACTCCTTCGTTGTCTGCACCAAGATGCAGATTGGCGATATGCTAGTCTGCACTCTCAGACTCTAATTTGGCACTTAACGTGAATGACCACATGTCTACAAAGACCATATTTTGTGTTTCCCTTCAAAATGTTTCTCATTGAAACAGGCACCTGTACATAGAGACCACCTGCCTATAAAGACCACTTTTCGTGTCTCCCTTGGGTGGTCTTTATAGACAGCTTTCACTGTACATAGTCTTGAGCCGAGCCTAACTTCTGTCAGTCTCTGGTTCTTTGTCAAGAGCAGCTACAGTACAGGGACTATAGACTGCGGCCTCTCTATAGTCTCCAAGCTCAGACCCTCTGTTATGCATTACAACTGACAAGGGTTTGTCCCTTAAAGCCTGTCTGCACTAGTTTGACCAGGGAGGATTAGACCTTGCAAGGTCACTACTTTGTGGTTATCTGATTAGCTCTCGATTAACATAAGAAAAAGGGGATGATGGGGGATCAACAGGCACCAATTAGGCATTGTTTGCTATATAGAGGTGCAAGTAGATACAAGTAGTGCAGACAGGCTTTAAAACTAGCAGTCTACAGCTCTCTTAGAGACAACAATCAGGATACTTGTGCGGCGTCAAGATTAGGAACTAGACTAGCGCGACCGGCGGAGTTCATTGTCTGACAATGCTTTGGGTTTTAGTGTGCCACCTCTTGGTTTCCTGTCTGGACCCATGGGAGCTGTGAGCAATAGAGTGTAATGCCCTGTTCTCATGTTTTCAGTAGGAGCCAGCATCTTTCTGTATGTATGGGACTTGCAAAGCTGGTTGGTTTTGAGAATCCAGCATCTTTGCTTATGTTTGGGACTAGGTTTTTGAAGAAAAAAAAGAGTGTAATGCCCTGTTCACATGTACAGTAGGAACCAGCATCTTTGTTTATGTATATGGGACTAGTAAAGCTTGCTGGTTTTGAGAATCCAACATCTTTTCTTATGTAGGGGGCTAGGGTAAAATTTCTGCTTAATAAAGGAACGATCATTGTCTTTGTTCTCATGGGAGTTCTTACTTCGCAATAGGTTGGATAATGAAAGAAAAATTGTAATGCTCTGTTCACATGTTCAGTAGGAGCCAGCATCTTTGTTTATGTATGGGACTAGCAAAGCTTGCTGGTTTTTGATAATTAAGCATGTACCAGAAGGATCTTGCCAAAATCAATCCATCAAAAATTTTAAAATGCAAAACATTTGTAAGATTCTTAGAACAAGTACACTGCCTCCTCATAAACACAATTGTTTTGACCTGTCTTAATGCCAACAAAACAAAGATCCCTTTTCCCCATGTGCTTTGCCAACAAAGGAAATACAGTCAATCAGCGGGGAAAGACCTTGAACCCAGAAAGGAGAATGGTGCCAAAAGGTTTGCTTTGACATTTGGATATATCATAACAATATCTGTACAGGAGATATATGTGTAAAAACTGATAAAGAGATAGAGAGAGAGATAATGGATTTGTTATTTGCTAATTTTTTTGCTGTTATTAACATGAGGAAGCAGTATGGGCCATCTCTCACAGTTTGTAGGAATTCTATCTTCAAAAAGTCCAGTTACTCTTAGACAGCAAACATACAGCGCATTACTGCAGGAGATCTGGAAAATGATAGTATGGTGTCCCCAAAATGCACCCAAAAAATAAACGCTGATGGAATTTAACCAGTCTGTTTTCCCAGAGGTGCAGAAACAGAGTTTAGCAGACGCTAACATCATTGGATGTCTGAAAATTGGACAATGCGTGCAGCAATACATCATGTCACATGACCTACTAAACGCTGAAGTACGACCCGTATCTACAGCAATTAGAAGGAGAGCGTATTCGGTAAAATCCATCTCTAGAGACGAGTAGGCCATTTCGTTCAAGTTGTCATCCGATTATGGTGTACTGTAGCCGCTCCTGACATAGCTAAGGCATAAATCCTCATGACCAGGTCCGTCGGAGAGGACCTAAAGCCATGGGCCGTCTGGTTGCTTACTTGCAAGCATTTCTGCTTTCTTAGCAGTCGGGTAAAATAACCACCACCACCACCACTATAGCCAGAGACTGACATATCTAGGCTCTGCTCAAGGCTTTAGGAATTGTGGTAAATTGTCAAATTAGAGTCTGTGCTTGCGGATTGGTAGGGGCAGGGGAAGAGATGTGGGATGGTATGAAAATATCTACTTTATTCCAAACATTTTATATTTCTTTACTTATTTTCCAAGACTTTTCTAAGATCTCTGGTAATGGAAGCCTCCAGATTTATTCTGGAGGGTGAGAGTGCCAAAGAGTTCTAGAATGTGCCATGCTGTTAATGAGTGAGAGCAAAAAAGGCGTTAACTCTATAAAGTGCCATAACTTATACATTTAGTAATAGAAAACTACTGATTTATTCTCCAGGGTGAGAGTGCCAAAGAGTTCTAGAACGTGCCATGCTTTCAACAAGTGAGAGCCAGGAAGGCATTACCTCTATAAAGTGCCATTACTTATGCATTCTGTAATTGAAGCCTAGATGTATTCTCGAGGATGAGAGTGCCATAAAGTTCTAGAATGTGCCATGTTGTCATTGAGTGAGAGCCAGGAAGGCGTTAACTCGATGAAGCACCATTACTTATAACCCTTCTGGCACTCTGCACCAAAAATGGTTGGAGGGAGGATAGTGCTTCTTGGTATGTAGTCTCCGATTTCAAGACCCTGTTTCAAAGCATTTTCTATATACTGTAACATGTTTGTTATTGATGAAAAGTTTAATGAAACAAGGCCTGGGAGTTCAAATCTTAATGTCCGTGTGCCCCACTTTCCTTGAATTTCAAGTTCCCTACTTATTTTTCTATTTTTAAATAATTTTTTTTAGGATACTATATTTAGAAGTGACCATCTTCTTTTAAGACCAGAAAATGTTTGTTTTCCATGATAGCTACTAGCTAGATTTTGGGATGTTTCAGGAATAAGTTAAAGTTAAAGTAGATACG